AATTTTTGGAAACTTTCCAGGATTTTTTTTTTTTTTTTAATTCCAGGGATTTTTGGAAAGTTTCCGGAAATTTACTGTTAATTTTCGACCCCTTTGCAACCCTAGTGACCATTAACTGACATCAGTTCATTATTCAATTATTATTAAATATAATAATAAAAATATTTTATTTGTTCACCTGTATGTCATGACCATTAACTGACAGATTATTAAATTATTATTAAATATAATAATAAATCTCAAAGGGTACTATAATAAAATATTTTTGCTAATTATTATTATTTCATTTATTTAATTTACATTTCTTTTAATTAAATCATAAAAATGTAAATAAAATAATTTAAAATAAAAACCATAAAAATAAAACACTTACTAAAACGATTAAACTTTTTATTAGTACATCTGCATGTCGTGTGACAATTAACCGACAATTGTTATTAATGTATTGAAATATTAACTTATTAAATAAACTAATAAACTAACTAATATTAACTAATTAAATAAAAACTGTAAATATTTTTAAGAAAAAAGAAAACCATCCAAATAAGCACTACTAAAAATGATCAAATAATTAATCATATGAATGTTTTGTAATACTATTGAAATATTAACTTAAAATCTCAGCGGGACTTCAAGTCAATATTTTAGCGCAGAGGGGTTTGAGAATTATTAAATGATTGAAATGTTAACTTAAAATCTCAAAGGGTAAATATTTTAGCTAATTAATATGAATTAATTTGAATTTACTTTTATTTTAATTAAATCATAAAAAATTAAATAAAATAATATTTAAATAGAAACCATCAAAATAAAACATTTACTAAAAACTTTAAATATTTTATTTGATCACCTGCATGTCATGCGACCATTAACCGACATCAGAGAATTGTTAAATTATTATTTAATTATTGAAATCTTAATATAAAACTCTTATATAAAAAAATATAAAATATTTAAAAAAAAAAAAAATTATACTTCAAGAAAATATTTTAGCTCATTAATATTAATTTTAATTTAATTGAAAACATAAAAAAATTTAATTGAATAAAAAACATCAGAATAAGCATTACTGAAAATGATCAAATAACTGTGATCATATTAATGTTTTGTTACATTTTTGAAATATGTGACCCTGCAGCACAAAAGCAGTGTTAAGTCGCTGGGGTATATTTGTAGCAATAGCCAACAATACATTGTATGAGTCAAAATTATAGATTTCTCTTTTATGCCAAAAATCATTAGGATATTAAGTAAAGATCATGTTCCATGAAGATATTTAGTAAATTTCCTACCGTAAATATATCAAAACTTAATGTTTGATTAGTAATATGCATTGCTAAAAACTTCATTTGGACAACTTTAAAGATGATTTTCTCAATATTTAGATTTTTTTGCACCCTCAGATTCCAGATTTTCAAATATTGTCCTATCCTAACAAACCATACATCAATGGAAAGCTTATTTATTCAGCTTTCAGATGATGTATAAATCTCAATTTCAAAAAATTGACCCTTATGACTGGTTTTGTGCTCCAGGGTCACATGAACTTAAAATCTCAGTGGGACTTCAAGTACGTTTTATTTCAGCACAAATGGGTTCGGCTGAAAAACACTTTGGGAGGCACTGAAATACTCTATAATTCTATAACTCTATAATAAGAGCGTTCACTCTGAGAGTCGAGCGCTGCGGCAGAAGCATGTTTCGGCGCTGTTTCCACGCGTCTGAATGGAGTTCAGATTCGTCCGACCGGCGCACAACACCTTCCCCCAAAGCAGTGAATAATGTTGGGCTCTTTTCAGAGGCGCTACTAACCTTTTGGCAGCCACCAGTAAAGTCTATTCTCCTGTTGTGATGGAGGAGGACAATGTGGCTGAACAGCCTTTAGAAAGCAGCGCTACCTCCAACAGTGCGGTCATTCAGCGCCGGTTGGGAACCGACTTTAGGCCCATTGTCCGCGCCTCCCCCTGCACTCAGACCTCTTCCAGTTTGACTTTTCCTCACACATTCACCTCGTTTTTAACCCTCGTAATGCATTCAGAATCTCCATGCTATTTTCGCATCCCGGGTCCGATTGTACCTGAAAAATCGGTATTTTATTAAGCAGTCATAACTTTATATATAACTTCACTAAAACCGTGTTGTATCTGATCAGCATCTTCTCTTTAGTGAGTGAATGTGAAAAAATCTAAGTTTTGAATGTTACAAAGTTATTACTGCATTTACCCTTTTTTATAAATAAAAAAATGGAGAACTTCTTTGAAATTTCTTGCATTTTGAAATGATGCAATATATACATATATATATTTTTAATATTGATGAGGAATTTTATTTGAATATATCATTGCATGACATTAATGAGAACATATAATCTGAGAATTATCAGTATTAATGAATGAGTCAAACTGTATTAAATTCCTTTGAATTTATTCAAAGGATTATTCAAATATATATTTTTCAACTAAAACCATATTGTATCTGATCAGCAGCTTCTCGTTAATGAGAGAATGTGAAAAGAATCAGAGTTTTGAAAGTACCTCTTTCTTATGAATTAAAAAATTTTGAAATTCTTTGAAATTTCAAATTACACATGAACTACATCAGAAAACTATGATGCAAAATATACATATATATTTTTTTTAATGTTGATGACAAATTTTATTTGCGTATATCATTGTATGAAATTTATAAGACCATATAATCAGATAATTTTCAGTATTAACTCCATCGGAATGAATTGAATTTAAATTCCTTTGAATTTAATTCCTCATGATTGCTCAAAAACAGTCCAAATTTATAAAACTTATGTATTTTTTTTCTTACAAAACTTTCTTTTCAAACAAAATCAATTATTTTTGCTCGAGTAAACTTTCACTTTTAGATGAAAAAATGCTGCAGTGGTTCATCAATAGACGTATGTATTCATGTTCACCAACAAATTCAGTCCAAAAGTCGGTCAGATATAGGGAAAAGGCTAAATATATGTTACAAAAGTTTTGACACTAATTTAACTTCATAGATAATTTTTTTTTTTTTTTTAAGTATTTTTGACACTAATGGTGCTCCATACATACCTGGGTCAAAAATGACCCGAAAGCAAAAATAGTTACATCTCTTTAAAAATAATGGTAAAAAATCTGATTTAGTTTAGTTTCGTTCCCTTACTAAACACTATGCATTTTTTAGAAATGTTTATGTATCAAGACGACCCGAATGCATGGTTAAACTCAGTATAAAACTCAGTATCTCTGCTTCAGTTAACATACGAGCGCTGTTTATCTCTCAAAGCCTCCTGGGAAGGATCCTGGCGGCCGAAGCGTCTTCATTCTGTGTGGTCGCTGTTTGATATGCACGGCCTCTAAATCACGACATTTCGCTGTTGCGTCGGAGGCAAACGGACGTGCTTTCTGAGCAGATTGGTCTGGTTTTGACGCATCCGATCAGTTCCTCGGTCTTTTGTGTGCGCAGATATGTTCTTCCATTCAGAAGATGTGCTCAGGTTCAGGCCGGAGCGGTTTTACATCACAACTGTGAAATCTGGCCTAAAAGAGCCCCATTGTGCCCCGCTTTTATTTTCACACAAATATAGTCCATTGTCAGGCGGCTGAAGTTAATTTGATCAACATTGGAGACATTTAACTTTTCTGTTCAGTCAAAAGGCTTGTTTCATGCTCATTTTTGGCCCATTGAAAAGCCGTGATTGGCAGAAAAATAATGTTGCCGTTAACAATTCAGGGTAATTAGTTTCCCAGGGGGAAGCGCCGGGCCGCTCTGGCCGCCACACAACTATTCTTTGTGACTTTATGGATGGTCATCAGTCAACTGTCAGGAGACTCAAAGAGCCTCCCGGATAAATGTTTCCCTTTTGGCTTTTCCCAGAACGACAGGCTGAAAGGGAAAGAGGGTGAGCGAGAGAGAGAGAGAGAGAGCTGCTATGTGTGTGAGGAGAGAGAGAAACTAAACGTGTCAATAAGTGGAATGTTTTCAAAGGAGAAATACTGAACGCGAAGTTCCAGCTCTTGTTTTTCCCCCATCTGTGAAAGAGCACATCATTAGGGAAAACATTGCGAAGCTCGACCAAAATGAGTTTAAATGACTGATGCTGATACTGATTTTTAGAGACACCAGTGGCTGACAGTGATTCTGATATCATTTAATGATGCACTCAGGATTTTATTTTATTTTATTTTTACACTTAACCATGTTTACTTTAGTAATTTATTAGACTTTACTATGACATTACTATTTTTAATGGACTTTACTATTTTTACATTTATTAGACTTTACTATGTTTATTTTATTTTCTAAATTTAACAAAAAATGATACAGATACATATTACTAAATTACTCTATTTACTAAATTACTAAATTTCATATAATTTCATTATATATATAAACGTG